TAACGGGCTTAATGATGACTAGATAGCCTACAAGGGGATAAGCCCCTCCCCCACCCAGATCAAAGCTTGGAGCCGACCCTGAGGAAAGAGGAGGAGATTATCCCAGACATAAGGAATGTCGCACTCCAGAACCACAGCGAAAGGAAGATTCACGGTAAGTGAAAGAAACCTTCCATTTCCTTGGAAGTAAGTTAACAAATGCCTCCAGGAGGAAAGTGAGCACGATCTCATACACGTTTGGCACAGCGCTTGATCAGAGATGCTTGGTCGGGCCCCTTAATTCCATGACTGCTAACAAGGAGAACACCGTTTTGCCGTTCCCAAGCCGACAAGTGCAGCCCTGAGCCTGCTTTGGCGGGGAAGGCAGGATATAAGTTGAACAAATAAATAATAAATTTATGGTACTAGTACATAAGTTCCATGGGAAGCATGGAAAAGGTTCTACCAGTGCTGTGGGAGCTGCATCTTCTGGGGACACGGTCATCAATAGGTTCTGTGCCACCTAATTTTAGCTGTTCTAGCAGCTATGAGGAAATAATACACCATACTTACCATCTTTCCAAATTAGCGTAAGGCCCAACTGGTATTCATGACGCGATTGCTTCCTTGTCTGCTCCCCAAAACATTTCAGGAGTTGTTCTGGCACATACTTCACTGATGAGTGCGTGTGAATGGCAGATAATATCTTGTAGCGCTCACAGAGCAGGCTGTGGAGGACCAATAATGACAGTGGGGGTAGGGAGGGGTTGGCATTGATCACAATATCCTTCAGAGCACCGTAGTCCTGCATCAAAAGCAATCAGAAAATTGGCAAGATGTTGAAGAGACAGGTATACTTTAGGGACTTTCCACACATCAAAAACATTGCCCCCACCTACATCACATTTTGGCAAGATTGCCAAGAACCTGATCACAGAAAACTCTAAATTAGTGAATCACTGGCTAGGCAGAAATTATGCTCTCAAGACAAGATTAATCAGGACTTGCCTTCCCAAGTAAGTCATCCAGGTCAGCAGCACTGGCAGTTAACGGAGCATGTTCATCTGCCTGAATGATGTTCGTTGCATCAAAGTCTGCATCTGGGGTTTGAATCATCTTTGAGAGTCCATCCACAGCTGCTTTCAATTCATACAGACGTTTCAAAATCTCCTCTTGGCGGGATTCAAGAGCCTGAAGGGATGGATCTACCTCATCCTAAAATAATATCAGACAATGTATTTTATCTTCAGTCTTATGGATTTTCCTGATGCATATAAACTGTTGTTTCTACTTAACACTGATGACAATATAACTTATTCAGTGGCAAAATTTTTATATGCTGCCGTTTTTATACAAAGCAATATACTGTAAACTTGGGATTTAATTTGTGATTCATTTTATGTTTAGTTCCTTTATGTATCTGCTCAATGTTCTCCCTTTTATAATGCCAATAAAGGTATGATGATGATGAATACTTTGGACTGGCAGTGTTTTGGGACAGAGAGTACAAAGAAGCAATTAGCAGGAATATCTGATTGTGCATGAAAAATCAAACCACCTTGATTAACTGGTTTAAAGTCCCTTCTCATTGTTTCCCAAATTTACTGGAGGAACTGAAATATACATTATCACTACAATCCACGATGCATGTAAAAGTTTTGGAGGCTTTTTGCCTAGAAGGCATTCTTAACACACTTATAGCAATCCTAAATTCGCATTACTGAATATAAACCACTACAAAAAAGTCCTTGAAGGTTTCCCTGAATACCCTTTGTCCATTCAAGGTAGAACTTCCTTGTACACACAATTCAGTTCTCCAAGGTTGGCTTTACAACCAAAATCAATTACATGTCAAAGATATGAATGACAGTTTACATACAAGTACTACAAATAAGGGGAGTACAAGTTCATCAGCTCAGCAAAAGAATTTACAACTCTGCTGTCTACGTTTTGTTTTGCTTGTAAGTGATCGAATGAGAGGCTTTACTTTTTGATTTGCCTTCACAAGCAGCAGAGAGGGGTTCGGGACACGGAGATTCCCTCTAGAGCAGGGGTGTCGAACTCATTTGTTATGGAGGGCCAGATTTCATATAAATTGGACTTTGTCAGGCCAGGCCACGTGTGTCATACAATGTAATGCATAAGCTGTTATAAGAAGAAGAGAAGAGATTGGATTTATACCCCGCCCTTCGCTACCTAAAGGTGTCTCAGAGCGACTTACAAACTCCTTTCCCTTCCCCTCCCCGCAAGACACCCTGTGAGGTAGGTGGGGCTGAGAGAGCGCTGACAGAAACTGCTCTTTTTCAAGAACAGCTCTTATCAGAACTAAAGCTTGCCCAAGGTCATCCAGCCAGGTGCAAGTGGAGGAGTGGGGAATCAAACCCGGTTTTCACAGATTAGAGTCCGCACACCAAAATGCGCTATAACATGTAATTTCTCAAAAGTCATAGAAACAATTCAAAAAACAGTTCTTTGACAACATTTGTCTTGTTCTATGTTGTCAACGAACTGCATTTTGAATTGTTTCTATGACTTAAAAAAATTACATGTTATAGCGCATTTATAACAGCTTATGCATTTCTTTGTCCGACTGGTTATATAGCTGTGACCTTCTACTTTGGTTTTCATAAAATGTGATGCCAGGGAGCAGAGATATAAACTTGATAAAGGACATAAACACAAAGATTTTTTTTACTTAAAATAAGAACATGCTTGAAACATTAGCACGCTTGCAATATTTTGTTTATTTAATGGTCTCTGATAACTGACATTTCTTGCTCTGAATTACTGCATCAAAATGTCTGTATTGTTGCAATCTGGGAGGGGGAGGAGCCTCAGCCCAGTGCAGGGAGCAGAAGTTTGCCTATCTGTCTCTCCTGAGTGATTGAGAGAGTCTGGGAAAGCAAGCTATGACACAACAACAGCAGCAGCAGCAGCAGAACTGGAGGAAGAAGCAGGAGTCAGCCAGTCCCTTGTAGGCCTGATAGAAGCCCTCTGGGGGACCTGATTCAGCCCCCGGGCCACATGTTTGACACCCCTGCTCTAGAGATTCCTCTATACATCTTTCTAAATCCCTTTTAAACCCTCAGTACACCCACTAGTTTTAAACTCTATGATTAACTGTGCAAATTCTAAACTCAGTTGCAGACAATAACTTCTGAGAATCCCCTCTATTAGGGAGGTTTGTTCAGTTACAGCCTAGGCATGCTCATTTTCAGTGACAAGCTCCTAGGCTCTTCTCCTTCCACAGAATGTGCAAAGCAGAATTATTTCAACACACCATCAGCAGAAGTACCTAAGAAATGTCTCCAGCAGCTGGTAGTGACAATTTTATTTACTTAATTGATACCTCACAGTTCTACTGAATGGGGACCCAAAGCTTTTAAACCCTCAGTACACCCACTAGTTTAAAACTCCATTTTATCCTCACAACCCCTTGAGGCAGGCTAGGCTGAGTGTGTGTGATCAGCCCAAGGCCACCCAGCTAGTCTCTGTGGTACAGTGGGGATTCAAACCTGGGTTTCCCAGGTACCAGGTCTGACATATTAACCACGATACTAAATAGACAAGAATTTGAGGTATTTTAGTTGTTTTAAACTATGTTTTTAAAAAGTGCACATTCACATTTTGCAAGCTGCCTCAGATGTGGTGGAAATGCAGGATACAAACATTTTAAATAAAAAGATTAATTTTGCCTAGGATTGAACTGTTTTAGGGCTGCTGACTCTGGGTTGGGAAACTCATGGAGATTTGGGGTCCAGGCTGACAACTTCAAGGTGGGGGGGCCTGAAGATCCCCTGGGATGACAGCTGCTCTTGCTTTGGAAGATGGATTCTATTGCATTCTACCCTGCCATTTACTTTCAATGTAGGTGGTTAGAATCTGATTCCAGGTCCCACCTGCAGGATGGCAACAGTAGAAAAGAAGCAACAATTACTGCAGACCTTTTGAAGTAGAGGGCTCTTTTTGTAGGAGGAACTCCTTTGCATATTAGGCAACACACCCCTAATGCAGCCAATCCTCCCAAGAGCTTACAGTAGCCCCTGTAAGAGCAGCTCTGTAAGCTCTTGGAGGATTGGCTACATTAGGGGTGTATCACCTAATATGCAAAGGAGCTCCTGCTACAAAAAGACCCCTTAGCTAGAGGATGCATCCTCCCAGCCACGTGGTGGGCAGTGTGAGACCCTTAGAACTCGGGTTTTCTTGCGCATGCGCATATCCGGCAGCGCTAGGAAGCCCCGCCCTCTCCGACCTCAGGGGCCCAATCGCCACATTCGGAATAGAAACAGCCGCGGTTTCACTTTCTCCTGCTCGGATCCGGCCTCCCCGTTCAGGCTGCGTGAGGAAAGGCAGGCCTCGCCTCAGAACCGCCACCCACCCGTTAGGAGGCTCCCGCTGACCAGCTCGTACCTGAGGCAATGAGGAGACGGTAGCGGCGGCGTCGCTGCCACCGCCCTGGAGATGATGGTGCACGTTGCGCACCCGGTACATGCAAGTGGGGAGGTGCTGGGCCAGCACAGCCGAGTCCGGCCCCCCTTGAAAGGGCCTCACCTTATACATGGGCATCGCGGCGAAAAGGCGCGGGCGGCGTCTTCGACTCCCTCACAGACTGACTACTTTACCTGACTGGGATTGCGCGTGCAGCCCACTGCCCCAACCCCATTGGACGAGGTGTGTTCTCTCGCCCGCCTTCCGCCCGGCCCAGATGACCTATTGGCCTGCGTTTGCTTGACGTCGCCCGCGCTCATTGGGTTCAGCCAGACGTGGGGGCGGGTCCTCGCTTGAACCTCGAGTCCCGTTGGTCGAAGGGGAGGAGAAGCCGTCAACCGTAATGGTGACCGTTCGCAGTCCGGCATAAATAAATAAATAAAGTCCTCGCCCCTGGTTGGAGGAGATCGTTGGCCAATGATAGGGCTCGAAAACGAAGTGGCCTTTGAGGAGCGCCGGGAAAGGAGATGTGGTTACCCAGAAAGCAATGCGCGGATTTGTTTTGAGGTGGGGGGAGTTTGACGGAGGGGGGTTCTGTCAGTGGAGGTCTTCATGGAGGCGGGAGAGATCTCTGGGTGAGAAGCTCTTGCTTTATCGGGTTGGTTCCCAGAGGAAGGCGTTTTTTGTCGGGGGGGGGGGGGGCGTGCGGGGACGTGC